TATATATATATATATATATGTGATATATATTATGTTTGATCCTATATTGCACACAGATATGCATTGTAGGATAGCTTTGGATTTAGACTCAGATACTAACAGCCATAAGAAGAGAGAAGCCTTCTTCTCTGAGGAATGTGTGAGAGGGATCATCCGCCAGGACTGGTGATGTCATCACAAGGTATAAAACTTTAGTTCTAACTTGTCTAGAGAACAACAGGGCTATGAATTCTGGTGTTAGGGAATGTCCAAAAAGGTGCAGAAGAAGAAACATGAGTCAGACATAGTGTAACAGCTGTTGGATTGTTAGTACTTGACCACTAGGCGGAGCTCTTGTAATGATAATGTAATTTGAATTAACGCATTTTATTTTGTATGTTTTATTTTTATGTTGAGCATGTTAACATTTAAGGTAAGGCCAGAGGCCACTTCCTGTTTTGGGAAAAAAAGCTCAAAGAAGCTGCTCATGGTGACAGTCGAGATGTGTGAATGCCAAAGAAGCGATAACAAGTCCTAAGCTCAAAATACACTGGTTTGTCCACTTGCAGGCCAAAGTGGTATGTTTGTTTATATTTTGTGAATTTTATATTGCAATATGTTTAAAGGCTGGAATATAATTTTCTTGTACAATTGTAATCACCAGTTCTACGGTGTACCTGTGTACGTTTAGAGAAGCACAGTAAACATAAGTAAAGAAGAACTCTCGTGTCTCTCGTGTATGTGTACAAGCCGGCATACACAGTCTAAAGTCTCCAACTGCTGACCAATCATGTTAACATTCTGGTTTTACCACACGCAATAAAAGTCTTTACTGCCTGAGTATAGCAGCATTTTGTCTCTGAGCCAGAGAGACGGAGGTCCACGGCACCATGTAAAACTAATTTGAAATTCTAAATGTTTAATTATAAATTGTGAAAACTGATAATTTGAGCATTTTTGGCTTCGCTCTCATAAAAACCCAACAGTATCCACAGTGAATGTGTTCATTTGGATTTGATTTTTTGCTCAATAAACTGTATTTATCTTAGTTTAAGCTGTTCAGCAAGTTCTACTTGACTCTTCCCCTCCTCCTGTTCTCTTCCCAGCAACATTTATATGATTTGTTTAACAATGAGGAAGTTGTCTTGTATCAGCGTCAACTTTGATACTAAAGACAAGGCAGAACACCGAGAAGTACAGACTGAATATGTTCCTTAAAACCATAATTATTTTGTCTACAGCAGCCTGCGTCGAGGCTGAAGGTAGGTATCATTATTTCCCATTACTGGTTAATCCGTAAACTTTCATCTTGTAAGCTGTGTTTATGATTTATTGTTTTTGTAATTTAGAATATATTAACACTGTGTTTTTAACTGTGTTGTCACTTGATCCTAGGAAGTCATACACTTTGTCACATCTATGGATGTTTTGACTCAAGTGATACTCAAATCTGTGCAGCATTCGATGGTGATGACGTATACTATGCAGACTTTAAAAAAGATCTTCTGATTTGGGAGAGCAAAATTCCCGTAAGTTTTCATTTACCCGACGCCTACAAATATGCAGTATTATATCGAAGTATGTGCAAAAATGACATCTACAGATGGAAGCCAGACAAGTCTGTAATAAAGAAAAAAGGTCAGTGAAACTCAAACTGTTATGTTTCCTGTTCAGTTTTCACTGTTTATGCTGCAAGTTTTTTAGATCTTTTTTTTTAAAACAGAAAGTTGAATTTAAGAAAATCATGTGTTCATTTAATTTAGAACCACCAGAATTCATCATCTACCCCAGAGATGAAGTGATAACAGGGGAAGATAATACCCTCATCTGCTTCATCAACCACTTCTTTCCTCCTTCGATCAACATTAAGTGGACCAAGAATGATGTAGAAGTAACAGTGGAAGACCCTTTCATCAAAACTTTGTCCAATCCTGATGGGACTGCTTATGTTTTGTCCTACTTCAACTTTGTGCCAGAGAAAGGAGACATCTACAGTTGCACTGTGGAACATGAATTGCTGGACGAGCCTCAGACCAAGTTTTGGGGTGAGAACAAAGAAGCTTCAGATATTTTAGCACATATATTACGATTTAATGTCTAGAATTCATCATTTCTTTCTGCTGTCCTCTGCAGAGGTTGAAACAGATGAGCTCAGCAAAGGTCCAGCTGTCTTCTGTGGACTTGGCCTGAGTCTTGGATTGATTGGAGTTTTCATAGGAACCTACTTTTTTTTTAAAGCAGGGAAATCTGGTCCCACTGGTTGAGATGTATACTACATATTTTATAGAGCTCAGATTGCATAGTCCTTGGTTTGTTTCCAGCAGGCATAACTTTCATCTGTGTTTACTGAGAAACCTGAACTGTCTCTTATTTTCATTCCTTGTGTAATGGCTCATATGCTGTGTTAAAATTACCAGCGACAATTGACATTTTCCATTATGAATACACTAGTCCCACAGATTTAAGTCTTTCTAGTTAAAAAATAAAGCAGTAGTTCTTTGGCTGATGTGTCAGTGTTTCTATAATAAAACTCTTTCATACTATTAATACTGTGCAGTAAAGCTGAACGGTGATACCAGCACTTTTCACACGACACTTTTAGATGTGACACGCTGCAGCACATTTTTGGTTCTTAGCGTTAGTGCAGAGCTTGAAGTTTGCATTACTGGTATTCTAGCGCTGAAATATGCCTCACTAATGATCCATAACTCTAAAATCATATTAGGTGCATTATGCCAAGTAGAATGAGAAAAAAAGACTTAATGGTGGGGTTTTTTTTTTCCAACTGAAATAAAATAAAAACCAGACTAGAAAAAAGAATGTATCCATAAACGAATTAAACACATTGTTGCTGAGACGTCTACCTGATTGTAAGTCATCACACTTCATAAGTATTATTAATTACTACACTATTATTTACACAGATGTGAAAACTAAGTTTACAAAAATATATAAATAAACCAATACAAGTGAAAACATTCTGGAAACTTACTGAAAATGAAAAATAGTTTTTAAGAAGTTTGTAGTTAGTTGCAGAGATTATTTAGGTGCCTTATTTTTGCGACAGAATATGAGGTTTTGTTATACAGTTCACTTTACCGACAAGAAAATTTCAGTAATGTTTTTCACAAGAGCTGTTAGAAAAGTGAAAGCATATCTGTAGGCTGAATTCTGTAATCTATTTTAAGCTCTAAACATTCATTTGCTGCTAGAGTCGGGTTCTTTATATGAATTTTTCATCTGCTTATCATCCATTTACAAAATCTAACAGAACTTAATTAACCAACATGTCAAATCTTTATAATTTATGCACATTTAATCTATAGTTCAAAACATTCTTCTTTACAGTCTCAACATAAAATGCTCCCGCATCTCTCTACTGTTTCTGATTGTCAAACAACAGTTTGATTGTCCACAGAAGTCACTTCATCTAGTATTAGTGCACAAACAAGAGCTAGCTAAACAAAGGAGCAAAGTCATAATCATTATCAGTTATTGTCATAAATGTAATGGATAGAGGGAGTTTCCACTGAGTGTTTTACTGTTATATCAGCCTATCTGCTTTCGCTTCCTCGTTTTGGTGAACATATAAATGCTGCAGATTAAGTCATCTTCCTGAATCGTCGTACAACACACATGCAACATGTACACTCGTAAGCTTATCCTGTTTGTGGCTGCCTCTCTTTTCAGTCCAGGTGAGCTGCAAAGGTCTTCTGTTTGAACAAATCAGTGAAATATTAAATTCGAATTATTATGTTTAACGTCAGTACATTTCTTTCTTTTTATTTCAGTTCTCACAGATGAAGACTTTTACCAAGTGAGAGCATGCTGTACATTCAAAGGGCCACACTTTGAAAAAACCGAGTACATATTAACTAGTATTTTTAATAAGAACTTGATGATGGAGTACAACAGCACAAGAGGCAACTGGACGGGATTCACAGCGTATTCAATTGAAGCAGCAAAATGGTGGAACAGGGATCCCTTTGATGCACTAACAAGAAAGATTGAAAGGAAACTGTTGTGTACGGACACATCAGACCTCATCCAATCCATATGTAAGAGATTTGTTTCTTAATAATGTTTTAAAATGTTGAATGGAGTTTTGATGGCGTGAAATTTTTACATCAAATATTTTTCTGATAATTTTTGATGACATAAGATTATTATATTTATTTTACTGTAAATAAAAATAGTACTTCATTTGTTTTGCTCAGTTGCATGACATTACAGTTGATTTCCAAGTATGCCATAATTGACAACGATTCTACGATACATTACATATATTTAAGGAGTACATCTGTTCACAGAGGAGGTGCATTAATGTATTTTTCTTAATCATAAGCATTGAACTTGTGTTTTTTTTAAGATAATCTGACAACTATACCCACCGTCAGACTAAAATCAGTGAAAAGGCCTAATGGCGAGCACGCATCTACGCTTGTGTGCAGTGCCTACAACTTTTATCCAAAACAAATCAGAATGATGTGGATGAGGAACGGCCAGGAGGTGACCACAGATGTCAGTTACTCTGACGTGATGCCTGATGGTGACTGGTACTACCAGACTCATTCCTACCTGGAGTACATCCCAACTTCAGCAGAAAAAATTGCCTGTATGGTCGAACACCTTGGTCTCTCCGAGCCGATGTTTGTGGTCTGGGGTAAGTTTGCTGCTGTGATGCCAATTAAAGGTAGAGAGATAAAACTGAAGCTGCATAATTACGAGTTTCACTTTTATCTCACTGTTTCAGACCCCTCCCTCCCAGTGGAACAACGAACTCAAATAGCTGTTGGGCTGTGCGGACTCGTGACTGGATTTGTTATTGCAATATCTGGAATCATCTACTATAATAAGAAGTCTGCTGCATACATCACTGTGTGTCAAAGTAAGGAGTTTGGTAGAAGTGTACATAACGTAACATATTCTGATCTAAGACTGAAAGCCTCGGTGTGCCCAGCACTCAGTAACTTTCATGACTTTGTCTCTTTAACCTTCTGTTTTCAAGAGAATCCTTAAAAAAACCTGTTCCTATTCTTACTACAGTGCATATCATTACTAAGTAGATCTGTTGCCTCATCATCATCATCATTTTTTTCTATGCTGCTCTTGCTGTGTTCATAAATTGGGCCTTTTCTGTGGTTGCAACAATATTAAGTTTTGCTAACTTAGTAAATCTGACCAATAGAGTTGTTAAAATGATAAATATGCTCTTCTTTTTAACAGGACAAGTGTTCATTCCTGTGGAATCCCTTCCTGAAGCTGGAGCAACTTAACAGCCTGAGCAAACAGGCTCAAGAAAATACAGGCACGCTCCATCCAAGGTGCCCCAAATATCACAGCTCTCTGAATAACGATGTCTGTTGTGAGTGACTGGGGCTTTGCATTTTTTACCTACGGGACAGAGGATACATTTGTAATGTAGTTAATACTCTTATACAGTATAGTAATATAATTTTATAGAAAAATGATTACACTGTATCTACTGCCATTAACCCTCATTAAGCAGTAAACCCTGTGAGTTAACCAGTGGTGAAAGTGGAAAAGTAGAAAAACCCTGGAATAATAGGATGGTTCAAAAGCTACCCACAGTATGCACACCCACATGGTACCTTCCTAGCAATTAAGTAAGAGAATGATTATCTCCAACTATATAGAACCAACTAACATTTTGTTTATTAATCTGAATACCCTGAAATTTTATGATTTAGTTGAATATAAAATGGCACAGATAATGTATAAAGCACAAAATAACTTGCTTTGCCACAGTACTCAGAAGCTGTTTAAAGTCAGAGAAAGTCAATATGGGAACAGGTTTCTTTAAAAAACACACAAACAAGATAAGGACAAACATAAAGCAAAGATGTGTTTCTAGAGGAGTTAACTTGTGGAATAGTTATGACAGTGATTTAAAAAGGTGTAGTTCATTTTCCTTGTTTAAAAACATGTTTAAAAATAGAGTATTAGAAAAATATATAAATCAAGAATGAAAAGAGCAATAATAATAATAATAACAATACTGAAACTCTTGGTTGTTTTGCTTTGATGTAGTTGCTTATCTAAGGTGGAACGTTTTTTGTTTTGTCTCTTGTGTGTTTTTTTGTTTTGTTGCTTTGCTTTGTTTTTTTCTTTGCTTCGAGCCCTGTGTAAAGGAGCCGCATGGGTTGAAAGGGTTGGCGTAATAAGCATATGCTTCAGCCTATACCTTTTGATTAGCCTTGTCTTGTGCTTTCTTACTTTGTGGTAATCTTTATTCTGTTTTCACTGAGATATTTGAATGCTACTCAAAAAAAATCTCACCATCGAGGCATCAAACAAATATCTAGCACAGGTCCAACCGGTGGGGATACTTACCGCTATACCAACAAGGAAGGCTAATATATGAGAAGATGCAGTACCCAGAAGGTAATGCAAAGAAGCAACATTCAGCGGTGTAAACAGTTGGAAACAGAGTTGAATCCGACCTGATAATAAATCCACAACGTCCACGGATCACTCTATAGATAGACAGAGAAATACTTTATTGATCCCACAACAGAAATTATTGTGTTACAGCAGGAGGATCAAAAGAATAAAGAAATAAAATTTTATATAAATACAACAATGATTAAAACAAAAAATCCCCAAAGAAAATAAAAATCAGGTTAAGTTAAAGGAAACGTAAAAGTACGACTGACAGCAATTTCAGAACAAGCAAGAAGCACTCAGAGTGCAAACCTCTGCCATGGCTTTCAATCTGTGGGCAGTATTTACTTTTAAGGGAATAGTGTCACGTAAGTGGTGAACAGTAAGAGGATAAACAGGTTTTAGTAAAAACAAAGGTAGCATTGTGTAAAACAGGAACTGATCTGTTTGGAAGATGTTCAGCAGCACTAAGAAATAAACCAGGGGAAAACCCACAGGCACTCATTTAAGCACACCTGTTCTTTGATGTTATCGCTTTCTGCCAATCACTCTGTGGCCAAGTACCTTATGAAGGCACTTAATTTCAACCTTACACCATTTGGCAAAGGCCTAGTGCTGTCACTTTACACAACCTGATTGACACGCACACACATTCTGAATTCACCTCTTCAGAATGAGGAAACTACAGTGTTTTATAAACCACATGCAGAGTTGAGAGTTACAGACATTCAGACTTCATGTGGCCTTCATATTAGCTCAAGAACAGTGCATAGAGAGCTTCAACAACAACACTCAAGACAGAGCTTATGATATCACTGCAGTCAGCCTCTCTGATACTCTAGCTGGGGTCTCTGGACTGTCCCTCTGTCTGATTTTAAAACTTGAGGCGAGGTTTGCTGTGATTCTGTGATTTTTATTCATTTATTTTGGTTTTATGATTTTATTCTGCTGAAAACACATGTTTATAGATTATCTTTCTAGCTTTCTGGGGTTTTTTTTTTTGAGTATGCAGCCATTTGCATCTCTGCAAGTATGTATGTATGTTGGAATGAATGTCTGACTGCGTGGTGAAATATGTGTAATTATCTTTAATGTATGGCTTTTATTTAAACTGTGAATAACTGTAACTCTGTGTTTTGAAGAGTGCTATACAAATAAAGCTATTATTATTTGTGATTGTTGATAGATCCATCTGTGTTTAGAGATATTATATCTATATCATATGTAGAGATTTTTTTGCTGGCAGTCAGATGCAAGGAGCAGACAGTCGGTGGGGCCCACTAAGGTGGTGTTTTTCACATGTAAAAAGAATATAGTGTTCAAAGAAATTGAATGAAAACTTTTTAATCAGACTATACTGTCAAGTTGATGAAACTTCTGGGATATTGATCTGGTCAGTTAAGTAGCCAAATAAGTTGATGATCAATTTTAGCTGCTTTGGTTTTTGTTGGAGAGTGATCCATGTGTGTATGGTGAATGAATCAGCTTGCTTGGCTGATGGTAGAGAATAGAGATGAAGTATACTAGAAGAAGCACAAGGAAATTACAGACTGGGATTGAACCACAAACTTTCCAGTTAGTAAGAGACCTGCTCTACCACATGAGCTACAGGAACCCTTTGTCATTGTCATGAATGTCATGGAGAGAGTGTATTTCAACTGAGAATTTTGTTGGTGTATCATACTCTTTGCTCACTCGGCCAATTCTATCAACTATTAAGAGTGATTAAAAAAGCAAGGGACTGGTGTATCCTGCCCGGAAAAGGGTTACCCGGGCTCCACCCTGGAGCCGTCCTGGGGAGGGAGCGTGGCAGAGAGCACCTGGTGGTTGGGCCTTAGTCCATGAAGCCAAGCCATGTGCAGCCCTAACAAGCTACATGAGCCTGCCCTCATGCGGGTACACTACCCATAGAAGGCACCGTAGGAGTTGGATTATTGTGTATTGATTGGTGGTCAAGAGCGAGGTCTTCGGTGGACCTATCCCTGCCTGTTGAGGCTGGCTGTTGGGACATGGAACCTGTGTTGAGGAAGGAGCCTGAGCTATAGTGCTTGAGGTTGAGAGATAGATACTAACTAGATATGGTCGGACTTACAGTTTGGGCTCTGTCTCCTGGAGAGAAGCTGGACTAGAGTCTGGAGTTTCCCTTGGTGAGAGGACTGTAGTTTCCTTTTTTTTTTTTTTATTATATTTTTATTGAAGAAAAAAAAAGGGACTTGTTACAATAAAGTGCATTGACATTATTTAGTCAAAAAAAGAGAGAAGGAAAAAACAAAAAAAACAAAACCCTTTTTCTTAGTCCTTTTGTTTTACATTCTGATAGCAAAAAAATAAAATTAACTCATTGGCTTGACAATGTGTTACATAATGCAGCATGTTTAACTTATTTACAAAAACTATATTAGGTACATATTATGAAGTTGAGGGTCAACCTGACATTGTACGATACATGGGAGATACACCAAGATACACCAATTCAGGGCTGGTCTTACCTAAATTCAGGGCAGATGGGGGACACAAAGCTAATCCATTTATTCCATATTTTGCAGAATTTGTCTTTCCGAACTTTTAAAAAGAATGTCAATTTTTCCATTTTAAATATTTCGAAAACCACATTAAACCTGAAGTACTACTGACAGCCTAATTGGATTGCACCACATGCTTCATTGCCTGGGGGGTGTTTCATGTTTGTTTAAATGTTTTGCATTAGTTGGTTATATGGCAGCCATCTTGTTTTCCCCCGTATGTGTCATTTGGTTTAGCTAAACCAGTATTTAAGTCCCCCTGTGTGTCATTTCAGCAGGTCAGTTTGTCATATGCTTGGTTAAGGTTTTGTTAATTATTATCTTGAGTTTAATCTATTGAGTTGACCTCTTTTATTGGTCTGCCTGTTTAAGTTTTGGCTTTGTTAAATATGTTTTCATATTTTTGGGTCAATAAAACCCCTTTTTTGAATTAAAACCACCTGTGTCCTTTATGCTTTACTGCTTGGTCCCTGACACTGACCCAAAGGCTTTCTCAGCATCCAGTCCCACCAACGTTGCCTGGACCCCATCTCTGTTTATTTGTTCAATAACATGTGGGGAACGCCTTATGTTGTCCAGTGTTTGCCTTTGTTGGATGAAACCACACTGATCCAGGTCTATTATGTCAGGTAAGATTTTTTTCTAATCTCCGTGCCAGAATTGCTGTAAATAGTTTAGTCCAAATTTAATACACTAATCGGTCGATAACTGCTACATTCTGTCCTATCTTTACCCTCTTTGGGAATGATGGAAATAACTGCTTCCTTCCACGAAGGGGGTAATTTACCCTTTTGCATAATCCAGTTGAATGTATTCAATAGAATAGGAAGCAAGTCCTCTTTAAGGTTTTTATACCACTCTGCAGTGTACCCATCCGAACCCGGGGTATTGCCTACTTTTAATTTAGATATTGCCAGGTGAAGTTCTTTGGTTGTTATTGGTTGGAGTAAACTTTCGTTTTGGAGATTCGTTAAAGTTGGTCGTTTTAATTTGTTCAAAAAGTTATAAATTTTTATTTCATCCGTTGTTTGTGTTTGGGTATACAGTTCTTTATAGAACAACTCTAAGCTCTCTTGAATTTTCTCTAATTGATTTTCCATTATCTTTGTTTGAGGATTTTTTATTTTAAGAATTGTGTTTTCCAATCTCTGTTTACGCAGTTTATAGGCTAAGACTTTAGAGGATTTTCTTCCTATCTCATAATATTTCTGCTTTAAAAAAATAATTTTCTTTTGAGTTTCTTGTGTATAAATTTCATCAATTTCGACCTGTATTTTTTTTATTTCTTTTTTTTTTTTTATCTCAGAATTACCTTTGTATCCATCTTCCCGTTGTAGTTGTTTTAACTTTGCCTGAAGGTTGACTAATTTTTGAAGCTTTATATTTTTCAGATGGGAGGTCATTGAAATTACTTCTGTCTTTTTTTTTTTTTCTTTTTTTTTTTTTGCCTGTCCCGTTTGGCTCTTTTGCCATCAGAATTGTTGTCTAAAGGCAAAGAAAGATGCCCAACGGATTTACTTTACCAAATTGACCATCCCAGCCTTGCCGTAATGGTCCATTTGATTCACCTTTTATTGTTTATTTTATTTTCACTTACTGAATACGGGACAGACTTGACTGGGGGAAAGAAGGGGAGAAAGAAAGAGGGAAAGAGAAACAGCTGAGAAGAGGGACGGGGAGAAGGGCAAAAAACAAAAACCAACAGAATGAGCAGAAAGAAAAAAAAAGAAAAAAAAAATGCATATATCAATCACCTGGGTCACCTGCTGAGAAAGAAAAAAGAAAACAAGCAGAAGAGAACAAGAGTAATAGAATAAACAACATCACAATGATATATGGGAATATGACAGTAAATACTAAATATTAAACATTATTGTGCAGCACATAAGATCAACAGAACACAGTGTGCTTTGAGGTAGGAGCCAAAAAGGGTGTAGTTTGTGGGTGTGATCACCCGTGTGTACACCTGTGAGCATGGACGCGCTTGTTTTTTTTTTTAAAGGTTCCTTCATGTAATGATCTGCTAGAGGGTGTGGGGGGGCCACAGCCCCGTCCTCCAGGGCATGAAGCAGGTATGGAGGAGATCAAAACTCCAGACATCCAGAGGCCCCCAGAACACAAGAGACCAAGGAAGACCAACAGAGGGGCAGCCGCGCCACTGTCCCAGAAAGAGCTGAGGAGAGTCCCAGATGAGGGCTCACTCAGCAGCCGCGGAGCAGAAGCCAGGGGGAGTTGCAGTGACGCGCCCGTGAGCTCCGCCGGCAGCCAGCCGTGCCTGAGTGACCGAGCCCCAGGCCGAGAGGCCGGGGGCACCCCACCTCCGAAGTGGCCCGAGCGAGCCCAGGCTCCAGGCCCCGATAAGCGGCCGCCAAGGAGTGAGCCGGTGTGTACCTGGACGCCCATCCCCGGACACAAAGAACCACCAACGCACCGATGTCTGAGGGAGTCCGCCACTGGCAGGGGAAGTGGTGGTAGGGGGAGATAGGCCTCCAAACCTTGGAGGGCCTGAGATGTCCCCAGAGAGGTGGCGCCTGACACCCAACCTGACATATAGACACAGACATACAGGCACACACATATACAAACATCCATTCCCACCCTCATGCTCTCATATGCACTTACTCCACACTCAACCAACGTGGAGACAGACATAAAGAGACGCTGTACACACGATCACACTCCCCAAGCGTACTCTACAAACCGGGTCTAGGTACCCTTGCCCCTGGAGGGGGGAACTGCACCCAGACCCAGGTGGTGTTACCCTTTTCCCTGCGGTGGGGGGAGGCAGACCGCCCCGACTCCGCAGCAGCAGGGAGGCCCCACACTCCAGACCGCAGTCGGACGGCCAACTCCTCCTCCTAGCCCCCCCGCTCCAGCAGGTCGCAGAGAATGGGGGTGAGAGAAGACTCCAAACCTCCCTCCACCCGCTCATTGTAGTGTTGATGCATGTGTGTTCTAAGGTGCATTTAAAACCCAGGAGGGCATGGAGCTACCTGCCAGAGAGCAGCAGGTAAGCGCATGGTCCCTCCTGCTAGCCCTCAATGTCTACGTGTATTTAAATTGAGAGGTGGGCAACGACGCCAGGGGTGAGGGTGTACACCCTGATGGTACTTTGGATTCCGTGTATCGTGCCCACCCCCAAGATCCTATATGTATGTGTAATGAGAGTGTGAGTAATGTGAATGTCTAAGTTGTGGGATAAAATTGAGGCAGAGGCAGCCAGAAGGGGACAGGGGGGGGGGAGCCTCCTCTGCACCCTGGTGACATACCCCTACTCCAAGGTCCTGCATGTGTGGGTGGTTGTGGTGGAGCGGGAAGAGGGAGGCAGCTGGAGATGGGGAGGGAAGGAAGGGAGGGGCAAGTGACCCCTCCCTGGGGCCAGCTCCCCCGCTGACCCCAGTAGGCACCCCCATACTCCGCGACCCGCCAGGGAAAGGGGGCCCAGGCCCATCCAGACCGGGGCCCAGTGCAGCAGCGCCTCCCGGCCCCACAGAGCCCGGGACAGTCCACCCAACCCCACCACAGAGAAAACTGCACCCACCCCACCATCCACTCATCTTCCAGACTACATAAGACAATAAACACCCAGGCTGAGATCTTCCTCCACCTCTCCTGTATCTCCCCCTCCTGCAGAGAGAGCCTCTGCCTCTTACT